TTTAAATTAATTCTTACTATGCAAAATCTTGATTTCTTTCTGCTTTCAGGCACCCCCCCCCCCACAAATGCTGAAGTATTTATTTGCTACATGTATTTTTCTCATCATTACGGCGCAGAGCAACCCTAAACACTGTGATTAAAATGACGATCTCTTGTCTCCATGCCTACCCTGCGAGTCTTTTAAATGGCTAATAAAAACCAGCCTGGCTCTTTGCTCACCTCTCCTTGAGGAGGGTGCAGCCTTGCCAGGCCGCAGAGGAAGACAATGCAATCAGTCCTGATGAGGCCTGATAGACTAGGGTCAGATGGAAGGGGAGGAGGACCTCCGCTATCAGTGGACTGGAGGAGGGACACAGGAGGAGAAGAGGGAGAGAGAGTTGGGTTGGGAGAGGATGAGGGGGCTACATTTGGGATACAAAATGAATAAATTATAATTAATAAAAAAATAAATTGATTTAAAAAACCTGCCTGGAATCCAATAACTGCATTGTTACATACCATCACTTCAGCCAGCCTTGAAGCAGGCTGGAATTTGTCCTTCTGACTCGAAATTTAGTGAACACCAAGGAACAAAACAGAAAAACCTTCATTTAAGACCAAAAATAGAGCAACAAATATTTATTCATGGAACAACATCTACCCAATACTTTCTGCATGTGCCTGGCAGGATGAACTGGGATGAACCGAAATGAGAGAGATGCGTGACTTCTGGGGAAAATGTCTCAGTTTACAGAAAGGCCCACTTGCCTACCATCCCATCCTATTTGTCTATAGGTACCAGAAAGAAGACAGAATACCTGAAAACAGTTTGCAAACTATCTGAGTAGGGAGACAACAAGATGCCTGGGAGAGGGAGAGATGTATCAAAGAAGTAGGCTTAAGTTATTTGTCTTGGGACTCTGTAAGTCCAGGTCTCTGGAGACAAGATCAAAGCAGAACAGAAGGCAAGAACGATGTGTGGAAGGGTACCATAATATCAAGATCATGGTCCTTCTAGAGTCAGCAAGATGACTGGAGACTGTGAGTCACAGTCCTAATAAAAAAGGCTTCGTTTGGGGCATTCACTGCACACCAAGTATTACATGTAATATTTTGTGTTAATTAATACATTTAATTTACATGATGATCCTATTTTATGGATCACCACCGCCACCACCACAGTCCTCCCCCTTCCTCTTCCCATCTCGCAAACCATGAAGAAAATGAGGCTGACTTCCAAGGCGCTGTAGATCACCTAGCTGTTGGAAGGCAGCACAGTTCACCTAGGCAGTTTTGCCCCAGTGTATCTGTTTACCTGATTATTACACTGCTGCTCACATTTGAGCTAGGCTAAGGGGCATGCACCAAATTCTGTGGACACATGGAGCTAGGTTTAAGAAGTAAGAAGTCCTGGAGGCACTTGGAGGGCATTGGTCAAGGCTAGAGGTATTTAAGAAAAGAAAAGGAGAGAAGAGAAAGGAAAAGAAAAAAACCCTAAAGGAATATAATCAGAGACCACAAGTTTCCTGCTAAATGAAGACCTCCAGAATGGAACAAAACCAAACTATACATCCATCCCTAAGACCTGGGCCAGGTTCTGACACTCAGCGAGGGAAAGAACCATTCTTGTTCTTACTTTCCTACGGCTCTACTGTAAAACACGGCTAAGCCTGGGTTATAATATGAGGAACAGATGGGCCTTGACACTATCAGCCCTGAGCAAAGGTCTCCTGAAGGCATCATAAACTGCCAGACAGTGGAAAGCACAAAGGTGGGAATTCCAATAATTTTTCTTGTGCGTGGTTCTCTGAGAAGAAGGGTAAAGACGGCTTTGGTAAGCCTCCAGCTAGCATTCCAGTTACAGCACCTCATCAGAGCCACGCTTCCAGCTCAAGAACATATATATGTGTTTGACATCTGGGTAACTCAGCAGAAAAACCAGGTTGCTAATATAAGATGTCTCTGGTGGTCCCCAGAAATTCATTTTAAGCCACTCCGAACAGAAACGGGATGTGTGCGTGTTGTTTCTAACTTGTCAAAACAGCAGTCCATTTTCCAGCTGCCTCAGATGAAATTTATTAGTGTGGTTACTTCTCTAATCTTCTCTTTTTAGTTTCGCTCCATCAGCACACATGGCAAGTCTTCCTTGGCACATGTTACCAGAAGGCTGCTAATGCGAGAAAAGATTTACAGGGCACAGAATTAATGCAGTATTTTCTCTTCAAATTTCACGGGTTGAAAATATAAATCACACTGTTTCTTCTCCCTTTGAGCAACCAATGAGAAATGAACTACAGGTGAGGGTACTGAGCCCACACCAGGAGCCAGAGCATCACACGGCATCCCAAAAGAAGCTTCCTATGAGCAACGTGCTCTAAACGAGAGGCCTACCACACTGTTATGTACCAAAGAGTTTTAATAAATACTTCAAAAATATTATGTCATTCTAGAATTTCAGAGTTGGCAAAGACCAAGAAAATACTCATTAACAATCCAAACCCAATTAAAGCTTATTTATTCCCCCACAGTTGGTAGCAGCTGAATGGCAAGGCATAAGCTTTGGAGTTAGACGGATCTGGGTTGCAATTCTGGGTCTGTGCCACTCTCTAGTTGAGAGATCTTTCTACCTAGCACTTATTTTGATAATTCAGAGAACGAATGTATATAAGGCAGAAGGTGCTCATCCCCTGTTTTACATAGTCAAAGCTGTATGTCCTTCTTTCCATCTTTCCAAGCCAGAGCCTTGCATTGCTCTTATTTCTAAGAGGCAGTTCAGGCTAGAGAATGCCTTGGACTCAGAAGACAGTAAGGAATGCGATGCTATCCACTTGGCATCAGGCCTATCCTTAAAGAGCCCCCGTTAATCAGCGACACCTGGACTGAGGGTCTAGGTGCCCACCTAAAAAAAAAAACAGTAACACCAAAATAAAACAAATTTTCAATTGTTAGTTATTTAAGTTAAAATAAAATATTTTAGCTAAACATTGAAACACTTCTGAACTTCTGTTCTTAAGCAACTGCTTACAACGTAATTTCTCCTGGGTGGCAGGAGTCGTGTGACTAAGGGCATGGGTCTGAGGGCCACTACATGGTTTAACTTCCAACTGTTCTTTTATTGGAAGTTGTCTGTAAGTCAACTGGTCTTTTTGTACCTTAGTTTTCACCCTTTCCCCAATAGGAAAAAATCACATCTCCCCCTTCTTAGGCTTATGAAGGGAAAACTTCATACTTACGAAGAGAAAAACGAGTTAATATATATCTTGAGAAGAGCACCAAGTACACAGAAAATACTCCTCAGTGGACTTTGTCATTGTCAATGTCATCATCATCATCATCATGATGAACAGCAGCAGTACACGCACCATAACAACACTGAACGTTTGTTCCCTGTCCTCTTTCTTCATGGGAGCCAGACTTTATGCAGAGGCTAAGCAGCTTGGTCCATAGCACCCAAACTATTCACTGCCTGCAGCAGAACTGGTTACGTTCCTACTTAGTACCAGCTCTCACACAGGGCTCTAGGCTTTTCCTGTTTGGCTTTTCCGTCTAGTGAACATACTTCCTCCTAGAGGGTGCCTTTCATATAACAAAACCAGCTGGGTGGCATCACACCTCTCATTCTGCCAATGGGTCATGAATAGGAGGTTCTCTGGAGAAGGTGGTGATCAGAAGTTAGGTTCTCATCCTTAGAAACTGTGGCCAACACAACTGCTGGTTTAGGTAAGACAAGCAAGTCCATAAAGGCAACAGGGCCTCTAACTAGAAAGAAACTCAAAACCTAAGGGAGTAAAGCTGTGTTAGTTCAAACAAAAGCAAACTGAGGTTGCAGGCAGCCCTGAGAACAGTGGTAGAGCCTACACGCTGTGAGGTAGAAGGCATGCGGGGTGGAATTTGGTAGGAAAATGAATACACATGACACCATGGCTCCATGAAGCCACGGCCAGCACACTTTGAACCAAGTGGCAATCCTCCCACATTGTCTTACCCTCCTGACCTTACTGTGGAGGTCACTACACTGGTTCCCATGTCCCCAGAGAGCCCCCTCTTGCTTTGAAATTAACTTGCATTAACCCTCACTCTGGAGCTCTCGGCACTCCGAGAAGCCTGCCTTACAACCTTTATTCTCATTCCTTTCTCTCCACCCTAGTTCAAGCATTCCTTCCTGCCTCCCCCCACTTCATTGTCTATCTGCCCCAGGCAGGAGGCTCCTACACCTTCCCAAACACACTCTCCAGTTTCAAAGCCTCACTACAGTCCCATTCTCCACAGGCTCTCAGAGCAGCTACTCCACAGTGGCTGATTATGAGGCCAGGAAAGAGGAGGGGGAAGTGATCGAGATTTCAACACCTGTTGACAGGGTTCCATGCTCTATCAGAATTTTCGACCAGAGTCTACACATGGTTCAGGGTTCCTCTGGGAGCCTCAGTATTAAAACACAAAAACGAATGACACCAATAAAGGTCTAGAAGAAAAGGGAGTCTTTTGATGCTTCTATTTGGGGGCTTCTTAGAAGACCGTGAAGACGTGTCACTCAGTCTCCTTCGGTTTCGTACTCTAATAATGTTCCAGATGCTGGTCATCTACTACCTAAACTAAGATGTTTAATCTGCCTCCATCTGAACAAGGGCAGCAGCTGCTCAAACACCACTGTTCTGAGAAGTCGGAAACAAATCTGTTATTAATCTCTCCTTTAGGATTACATAAAATTCTGAGACCTGTCACCCCAAATCCCAAATTTGTTGGGCTCAACACTGCTCCTGTCTGGCTTTCTCAAGCCTCTACCCACTTCTCACCCGCGTCAGTTCAAGTGTGTGTCCCCGCAGTGTCTGCCAGAAGGTTCCCCTTCTCCCTAAACTGGGAAGTGGCTGAGTTTCCTGCTCACTCTTGGTTTCCAGCAATCAAATACCTGTCCTTTGATTTCTGTAAATTAACACCATACATGAAAACATTAAAGAAAGTGGACATGAAAATTAGAGTCAAAGTAGCCAATTCTGCACAAAATGAACATCCTGCTGGACAGGAGTGGACCCATAACTCAAGGCAGCTCACAGAGAAACTGGTTTCTTCAACGGTGTACAAGCAGGACCGAAGGAAACTTCCATAGCTTTATTTTAGCATTAAGATTTCTGGGCCTATTTTTCTCCACAAGAGTTAAGAATGAAGAATGAAGGCTTCTCTCCTGAGAAGCCCCCTGAACCTAGATTCTCTCAGCTATACTGCCATCAGCTATAACAAGAGACTTGGCTTAGACCAGCTGCCTGCCAACTTTCTTCTAGAACACACACAGATCAATGGTTTCCTGAAATATCACCAGAACATCCTCTAGATGTCACCTTGAGAACATGCCAGCATGGAGGATGACTGCTATGAACCACAAAAACAACTGGAAACAGACAATTCAATGGGCTGACTGAATTTTTTTTTTAAAATTTTTGTGGGGGTTAATTTTCATTTTATTATTTATTTGCCAATAAATGCTTATCCAAATTAAGCTGTAGTTCATAAAATGATCTAATTTGCTTTTCTGGGAATTTTTCTTTTTTCTTATTCCAAACACAAATTTTAGGGCTGTCCCATCAATAAAAACAGAAATGGTTTAAGAAATGCTTCTGATGTACTCTGATTTCTCTTGAATATAACACCTGTCCCCAAAGTCCTCCCCAACCATCTTCCAATGTCTGAGATTCCTCAGCTGACCACCTGGGCACTGCGGCGGGGGGGGGGGGGGGGGTGCTGTAAGTTCAGAAGCAGCAATTACTTATTTCAGGCACGTTAAGAACATTTGCTTATGGACGACTACCCAGCAATTGTTTCTCTTAGACCAGCTCAGGCTATGGCAGGCCAATGAGTGAGCGGATCTGCTCAAGCAGTTCACTCAACCCAAAGGAACTGTCAGGGAGCTCATTCAGGTTTCAAACACCTTTGAGTGAGTTAAATCGGTGTGGAAACCTGGAAGGAGACAAAGATTTTTTAGAGTAACTCTGGGGAATCCTGGATTATCTACTTACAGCCTAAGGGTTGGATGTTCAAAATTTACAAAAATACCTGACAAGAGGTGTCATCTTCTTGTTTATTAAAAAAAAAAAAAAAAAAGTCACCTGCACTGCAGAGGTGTTTGAAGCCTGAATCCTATGAGGAACTTTCCCAGCAATCAAGAGTTGTATAAAAAAAAACAAAAAACAAAAAACAAGGTGGTCTGGGGGATGGAGCAACAGGGCCCTACACTGGGCACTGAGAGTGAGTGTCCCACCTCACAACTCTCAAAGGTTGTAAACCCCACCGCTGGCGCTCAGCCTTCCTGCTGCCCACGGGCAGCGACTTGGATGCGTGTTCTGCCTGGGCCCTGTGCAGCAGCCTGTTGATGAAGAAAAAAAAGGCCAAACAAGCCCTAAAGCGCAGGCAGACAGCTAGGGTGGGAACCTTCACTCTGGTTCCATGGGGAACGACTTCTAAATACAAAAACAGCTTCCTGAGTTCCTGATGTTGGAAAAGACTGTGGTGGGGAGCTATTAACCTTGGAATAAAAACACTTGATGCACAAGTGCCTTCTTTGACAGTGTTTGTCAGCCCAGTGTCCCTGCAAGCATGCCTAAGAGGTGGTTTCAAATAGGTGGGAGATCTCATTTGTACCAAATTCTCAAATTATCCTATTTAGGAAACATGATCACCTACACATGTTATGTAGAGGATAGTTCTATCTCATGCAAATTCTGAAATGTGAGAAAATGCCCAATAGTTTATAGCTCACTTATAAATTAGAGATATACAGCAATATTTCAACCACTACTGGTACAGAGTATTAACAGCAGCAAGTTTATACTGTCCAAGTTTAAATTTGACCATTTTCCTTTATAATTATAAAATTTCAAAAAACAATTACATTTAAAGTGAGATGTCCAGAGTTGCCTGAGGACGTTTTGCATAACAACTTGGTATATAAAGGCTGAGTCTCAGAAATACTTGCCTTTTGTCTCTATTATTTTCATTTTAATAGTGACCATTTTCCTTGGGTTAACTACAGTTTCACTGGTCTCTCTCTGGCCCAATGACACACATTTACAAACACACAATGATTGGGTACAATGAGCTCAAGAGCACTGGTTCCTCAGCAGTCCAGAGTAGAAAAACACCATTTTCAGGGCATGTTATCTTTAACTGTCTATCATCTCATTAATTGCTTAATCCAAAACAAGAGTTTTACAGTCAACTTTTTGTTTTAAAATCCATCCTCTAGCAAAGATAAGCAACAGGAACAAGAAAACATAAATGAATCCCAGGGCTAACCTTCTTATATTCATATTCTACTCATCAGCCTGACAGACAGCTCCAGTCCTTGCCCTAAGGGTTCATACACCCCGAGTGGGTTAGATAAATGGCTATTTATGAACCTGGAAACAGGTGAGGACTGTCTCTTGGTGCCCGGAATGAACAGACTCTCTCTGTGCCAGCTCACTCTCCTGCCTGGAGGTTAAAAGCAGTGTGTCTCTTCTCTACACATCCACAGCTCAGTCCTCAAGAGAAATGTACTGTTTTTCACAGCCCACGGTCAGTCATTCAACACAAGCACCCTATGAGCTCTTTTGCTCACGGGGTCAAAAGGTGAGGTCACACAGAGAAAGATTTAGCTATAACGAAGAATCAGGATCTGCCAGATCACAAGAGAGAAAAGGGGACTGGAAGTTAAAAGCAAGTCAACACAGGCAAACTGAAGGGCTAACACTTTGTTAGGCAGGGTTCCCCAATTTGAAAGGCACCGTTGCCATTAATTTCCATACCATAAAAGCCCATAACAGTAGTGAGCAAAGCATGGACATCTGTGCACAACAGAACTCAGAGTTTAAAAGCAAGCAAGCAAACCAACAAAAACCATGGGAGCAGGTAAAGTGGTCATTTTGCCCGAGATACTGTAAAGCATCAACGGTGACATTAACCTTGTACTACCTAGAAGCCATTTTATTTGAAAGGTTGTTGTCACCAAAGAGGAAAAGCATTTCAAATGAAAGGTGGTGACCCTACAGGGGTCATCATTAATCACCTGGGGTCAAAGACCTTCCAAATTGTAATAGGAGGCAGGGGGCAAGGGAAAGAAGGGAGAGAAAAGATCAAAAGGCCTTTGATGGGGGTTATCTACCTATCCACAATAGCACCTGCAGAGTAGACCTCTGCAGGAGGAAGCCTCCCAGCTTCTAAAGTAACAGGGGTTTTGCTCACTAACTCAGTTTACTTCGGAGACTAAAGTCAGCAGATGGCAGAAGAGTCCTAGAGGTTCTCTCATGGCTGCCACTTTCATGATGCCTCAGTGGAGCACAAGGCACTGTGTTCTTTTCCAGGACCAAGCACTACGGATAAGAAGAAGGAAGAGCTGCAGCTGGACAAACGGCAGTGGCCCAACTTGAAGCACCTTGCAATTCTGCATTTGAGTTTATGGGAATGTACTCATCTACTCTTTGCAAAAGGCAAGGATAGACAGGAAGCTGGGGAAGAGGGTATGTTTCCTCCAGCGAGGCCAACAGAAGAGAAGGTCTGCGGGGCCCTTGATTAAAACGGCACAGGCGCTCCTTGCTCCTGCTACCACCGTTTCATGAACCTTACATGTTAAAGAAGCAGGTGGGCAGAGAGGGTGGTGCATGTGCGAATCAAATCCACTCGCATGCAGGGAAGAGCACCTAAGTCACGAGGAGGTGAGCAAGCAAGATTCCAGTGGACACTTGGTTATCTGCCTGACGGGTTTCCCTGCTGTCATGCAGCACTCTTGGAGCATGTATGGCTTTAGTGGGTCCTTGACCTCAGATAGTCCAAGCCATGAATTCTCAATTCTTTCCTATACGTATATACCTAGGGTAGAATGAAATTTAAAAATGGGACACAGCAAGAGATGAACAGCAGTCACATTTACAAAACAACCATAAATGTGTACGGTAATTAAAGGCGTATGGATGCGGTCTCTCTCAAAGTAGCTTACTGCATTGCCCTCACTCTTCCTGATGCAATACACGCTGGTACAATGCCTTAGTGAGGTGAGGAAAAGAGGCGAGTGGCTGTGAGAGGCAGCATTAAGACTCTACCGACCTGAAAATACGTTAGACAATGCAATGGCTGGACTCTGGAGCAGAAACTGGAGGAAGGTCACATGTTCCTCAGACTAGAGCACTATTTACAATTTGTGAGTTGCTTATTTCTGGAATTTTCTAGTCTGTATTTTTAGAACATGGTTGACCATGAATAACTGAATCCATGGAAAGTGACACTATGGGACGGGGATCACTAGACATTCCAGGAGACTCAAAAATCTGAAGCAGGCCGTGTCTTGTCCCTAGGATATGTTTCCCCAGTAGATGGTAAGTGGAATAACTCAAGAACGCAAACAACGAGCTTTTCAAAAACCCACTAAAAATAAATATAAAAATAATTTATTATTTTAAGAAATAAAACACACAACAGAGCAATATAAATGGCTTTCAGACTCCGGGCTGTTTTGATTAGCCATGCCCTAGATGCCTACAGCCTGCACCCATTAGCATGGATAATTGAGAATCCGCTGGATTTCCATTTTAACAGTCTCTCTAATTCATTTCAGGCACTGAGATGGGAAAGCAAAACCTTGGCCACGATTCCACTTACATGGACGTAGCACTGCACCACTCCATGCTGTACTAACCTCTGTACAGTCCAAAGAAGCCTTCGTAGCGGAGCACTTTCTTAAAACAGTCGAAGCTGTTTTTATACATGAGCTCTCCCACAAAAGAGCCAGTTGATCGCTGGTTCTGCATTCGAGTCTTTACAAGATCGATAGGGTACACAGCAGTGGCTCCCACAGCTGAAATTAAGAAATGCCATTATCTCAGCCAGAATTACGGTGATGTGGGTGAAAGAAATACAACACTCAAAGAAAGGATTGAAAACGGGAATATTTGTATGCACGAACTACTGAGCTGCCTCTGTAAATTTTTTTTTCTTCAAATGTGCCTTGACAAAAGGATGTCACTAGGGTTTAAATTAAAAGCATATTGGGGAAAGTCCAACCTCACAGAAGGGAGAGAAAATTATCGCTTGTGGGATGCAGCTCCCGTGCAGGTGGAAAAGGCCGCTTGGCTCTGCTCCCACCTAATGGGTATGGGTTGGTGACTGACTTGGGGGTGACCACTGAAAGTGGCAAGGTGAAAAAGCAGAGAGAAGACCAGACGAACAAAGAAAGTGACAAGGTGACACTCATCCATGACTAACCTCCAGCAACAGAACCCAGACCAAACCTGTAGGCTGACTCTGCGACCTGGAGAAGGACTGGCCGAGCTGCATCACCTGAGGCCTTCTGCTTCACACACACATGATGCAGGAAGCAGGCAAGCCGAGGACAGAGCAGAGACGTGCAGTCATTAAAAATGTCACTCACCGTACTCTAAACACAATACAACTAAAATGTAAGAAGGAAAATGAGATTCGAGTCCACCAAGTGCTCATTAGTAAAAGGGGTTCCCTACTAAGCATGACTGAAATCATATTGGGACATAAGATCATGAAAATTAATGCTTTGAGCCAATGTTCTAATGCACAGTTCTCACTAGTGATCCTACAAATGTCAATGCAAACAAACAAACAAACAAAAAAAACAAGGAGATAACATTCTTGATTCATCAAACTGGCTGGGCTTTCTATTTGAATTTTGTTTTTGTTTTAAATAATAATACTCAGACTGGTAACAACTGATAAAATGTTATCCTCAAACTCACCGTTTGAGCTCACCAACTATGAGCTTTTGAGAATTTAATAACATATATCTAAATACTTAGAATGAATATAATCTCTGATGCTGCTGTTCTTACAGTTAGGTGAGAACAGCAATGAAAGATGGGGGGAAATGGAATAGGCTCTTTAAAGAGCAGAACTCCATGAGCAGAAATTCTAAAAATAAACTAAATGACCAATAATAGAGGTTTAAAATACTATGCTGGTGGGCATGGAGGCACACAGCTTTAATCCCAGTGCTTAGGGGGAAAAGGCTGTTCTTTGTGAGATCTGCGCCAGCCTGATCTACCCAGCTAAGTCCAAGCAAACCAGGATTACATAATGAGACCCTGTCTCAAAATTAAATAGTAAATTAAAAAATACTATCACTTTTAAAACTAAAGCACACTATTTAAAACGGTATCTTCAAAGATCAGATGTTGGTTTAAAGAAATGTTCACAAAACTCTTATTTTATAAAGAAAACATGAGGGGCAAGAGAGATGGTTCAGTGGTTAAGAGCACAGGCTGCTCTTCCAGAGAACTCAGGTTCAAGTCCCAGCACCCACATGGCAACTCAGAACCTTCTGCAATTCCAGTCTTAGGAATCTGATGGTGACAGGCACCCCTGTGGAATACTGATGTAATGAAGGCAAAGCGCATAAAAATAAAATTAATATATTTTAAAAATGAAAGAAAAGAAGCTAAAAAGAACATGGTTGAGTAGTCGGGTGTTTGGTATTTATATTCCTTTTACCTTTATTAAATGACTGAACTATTTCATGGCATTCTCACATATATGTGTGTTGAGTGTTTTGTCTTTTTTGTGTATGTATACCACATGTATACCTGGTGCCTTGAGGGTGTAGGATCCCTCAGAGCAGGAGTTAAGGATGGCTGTGAGCAACCGTGTGGGTGCTGCGAGCTAAACCCAGGCTTTCTACAAGAGCAACAAGTGCTCTTTGTAGTTGAGCCATTTCTCCAGCCCTTCATGGTATTAAAAAAAAATAAATTAAGAGAATAGAATATGAAATCTTTCGTTGTTAAAATTATAGATATATACATATATACTGTGAATATATAGAAATATATAATATAATATAATATAATATAATATAATATAATATAATATAATATAATATAATATATAAAATTAGTACTAATATTTTGGCATCTCTATTACCGAGCAACACTCAAAATGTTTATGATGGCCATAACTAAATGAGTTATAGGTGAGTTATAGGTGACTCTATTTTTTTTCCCCCTCATTTTTGGTCATCTTCCTAAAATTAATATTTCAAAACAATTAACTGTTTTGTCATTGCTCTTCTGACCTGTTATCATTAGCATTACTTAGGCCAATCCATTTTAGAATATTGTACCACCCCATCTGTGTAAATAAAATATTAACTCTGTCCCACAGAGTTGTCAAGTGAGAGTGACATATAGTCAGCGCCTAATAATACATTCAATAAAATTTGTTTTCGAAAGGCAGGATAATTAACATCAGGGAACAATGAAAACGATCACCAACCTCAGCTACCAACCCACTGAATTTTAGCTGCTGTCAATGCAACACAACTCCAATACAATGAGATCATTTGAAATCTTCAGTCATTTAACAGAAAACAGCTCTACATAGAAATATGCGCGTCTAAGGAGGTAAAACATTTCCTCCACAAATTCCATGGGTTGTCTCCAATTCTACCACTCTGCTCTACCTTCATTGTGACAGATGTAGTCAAAGGAAGAACATCATTTTATTTACATGCAGGAAAACATGTGATACTAAAAATGTTCTGGCATCAAAATAATGAGAGCACTCTGAAGACACTAAAGGAACCTGCCATTATTGCTAATTCTTCCTCTAAAAGACGAACCAAATTCCAGGTTCTCATTTAACTTTTTGGAAGCTACAAAATGCCGTATGTTCTTAAAATGACAGATGGAAAGAGTCCAGCTTCACTGCTTCCCTGTCTAGGACAAACACTGAATGGGTGTAGGATGTAAGGAAAACGCAAAGTAGCCCACGGGTAGGTGGCCTGCCTTGCTTGAATTTGAGAGGCGCAGTGGGGTTTGTATAGCAAAAACAAAACCACCCTACATTTCAGGTAGGGTTGCTCTGGATTGCTTTAAACCTCTAAGCAACGGCCAATCACTTCCTACTGGAAATCTCAACAAACTCCTCTAACCCTTTCTTGGCCAGTACCAACAAGCACCCGTTATAAACCCTCCAAAGCTGCAAAGGGCGCAGAGGGGAAAAATGGAGAGGTGTTGCTGCCAAGGGGGAAGCAGGGGAGATCTGAAACAGCCCTTCTGCTTTCCTAAATCCCCAAATCTCTACAATAGCTGGTGGCACGCAGACGAAGAGATAATTATCGCAGACACAGCGTCTGAAATCAAAGGGAGGGGAGCGCAGGGCTGCTTCCACCTCTGCCCGGGATTACACAGTTCTTTCTCCTGTACCAGGGGAAATCGGCTTCCTCTTTTAACCACAGCCAGCTGCTTTCCCAGAGGTGCCTAGTTGGGATTTACTGGGCATACACACCCATTCCTTCCACTTCCATGCGGCACACAAAACTCTCTGCTGCCTTTGGGTGGGAAGGAGCTAAAGGGAGGGGGGATCCTGGCTCCAGGCCTGACAGTCCTAAAAATGCAGCCCTCGTCAACCCATTGTGGTCAAAGTGGCGTCGCTGTTCAGACCCAGAGCTCCAAGCCAAAAACAGTTAAGTCTCACAAGATTTGAAGATGGCTTTGCCTTAAAGGAGGTCGATTTTTCTTATTAAAAAAAAAAAAAAAAAATGCTCTGTCTGTTCATGGATTTATTTTACAAGCGCCATGCAGGCACAGCACATCCAATGAAGGCCCCAGCTCAGCCCCGGCTACAGCACTGAGCAAGAGTTAAGTGAGGAGGTCCTATGTCTTAAGTTTCTGACTCCCACAACTTCACGACATGGGCTTCTGTTAACCATAAAATAAAATTGAGCATTCCTAACATTGTTTCCACATAACTTATGAATCCTTTCACAGAGAAAATAGGTCTAAATGTCTCTGAACTATGACTCCAGACTAAACAAAATTATCTCATTTTGATACTCAGAAAAACGGAAGGCACGGCTGTTAGACAATGCTCTGACAGTGCCCCGCTGAGGAGCTAAGATAGCCTTCATTTAGCAAGGCCAGCAGCTGCTGGGGACAGTTGCAAGAATCAGTGTTCCACACCCACATCCCTCTGTATTAGATGTGAAGAAGAAAAGAGCTACTTGTTTCTGGAGCGTTGGGGTTTCTAGTGCTGGGGGAACTGCCCTGTCTTTCTAAGAAACACACGCCCGTATCTGTTCACCAGAAGGCTGCTAAACAATTTTTCCTTTCAGCCTCCTCAAAATGCTTGCATTTGGGGAGCAAAACTGGAAAATGGTTAAGCCAGAAACCAATGCTGGGAACTCAAAGAAAGGGTGAGGGGCCTGGGTATCTCTGTAGAAAACTCCAGGAGAGGACTCACTTTGATCACTCACCTGCCTCTGGGCCTCAGCCAAGTTGAAGGGCAGCATTCCTTCTTCTAGGGGAGCGATGCGCTCAATGTCTGCCAAGGTCATGCGTCTGGACAGAAAGCAAACGCAACAATGACGAAGTACCAGATTTCTTAAACTCACATTATGGAACTCCAGAGCGCTCCTTTTATCACCTCCTGTATTTCAGTGTTGCCTTCATTATTTGGTTTCTTTCTCTCCTGCTGAATTCTCCCTACACCTAGTTCCTAACCTTTTTTTATTAAACTGACTTTTAAAAAAGCCAACTTACCCCCTCGGCTCATATAAATCTGCTAACTGAAACAAGATGTCAACTTCCATGGGTGTAACCTGACCAAACTTCTGGGCGGCCAGAGCAAACTCCTCTGCATGGAAAAAAAGAGAAAGAGAGATTGAGAAAGATCAACACTAAAGTCAGCATTGGCTCAAAGCACTGGAAGAGTGGACATCGCACGTTACCATGAAGTCATTCCCCATTCCTCCAGTTCTTTCACACCCTTAGAAAAAGAATGCAGAACTCCATCCCAACACTTAGAGTAAAAGCTTGGTGTTACCTGAAGGCTGTAAACACATGGCACTGGGTGGTATTCAGATTACAGAGCAGGGAAAACAGGAAGAGTGTACGAAGCTTCAACCTGCTCTCCAGTGTTGACACTACTACAAATCCAAGTGAGTTTTCTATTTTTTTTAATCCTATTGAAATGCTGATATCTTTGAGCTCAGGGGTCACATGATGCTATCATCAAGACAGGTTTGTGAAACTCCCACATATTTTTGATGGCCACTTGTGAGGCCGCCTATGTAGCTCAAGTTCTTGCAAGAACTGAAAAGACTCAACAAATCTTTTATCTTGTCTTCACTCAAAGGCTAAAACTTCAGTTTATCAGAAACTTAGTAAAGATTGTTTTTGTTTGCTTTAGTTTGTCTGATCACAGACTGGAGGACACATCACCAACTAATCAATGGTATGAATGGGACAGAGCGTTCTAATATAAACTCCAGGCTGCCTTCCTCAGCCTCCTTCCCTAACACACTTGAAACAAAAATTCTGATACTATCACTCACCCTTAGTCACCTCCACGTCTTTCCTGCTGCCAGCCAGAGTGCTGTAGATCTTTCTAATGAGTTCCATGTTGTTAAGGAGCGAGTTAAATCCATTAAAATAGGAGAAACTAACTTGATGGGACGTAGCGCCTCCAGCGGCCTTGGTAAGTTGAAAACAAGAGAGAGAGAGCGAAGAAAAAAAAAAAAGATACATCGGTGAAGTGGTTCCAAAAGTACATATATCCAATGCTGTTTTGGAAGTAACCAGAAATGAACACACACACACACACACACACACACACACACACACACACACACACACA